GGAATGAAGTGGGCTTTTATGCAAAGATTCAAATGATCGGATTTATTGCTGTTAAGCTTTGAAGCAATATGAGACATTTCCATAATGTACTCCCTGATATTTCCTTTGCCCTTATACTTCATTGAAATCAAGCGAGCTAAAAGCGTGCTTGTTTCTACCTTATCGTTTTTCGCAAAACGCTTCTCAATTTCGGCAAGGAAATCTTTAGCCTTAGTAATCCCTTCGGATTCTATGCCCCTGAAGGCTTCCGGAACGCCGCGCTTAATGATCATAAGACTCATGCGATTTGAACGCTCCCACTTCTCATGCTCCTTCTTTGCATCAGGAGTGCTATCCGCATTGAGAGGTTGGGGTTGTTCAGTTCTTAATGCATAGTCAAGATCCATGCAGCCAAGAACAATTAATATGTTCTCTTTCCAAACCTTGAAGTTTGTCCCATTTAGCATGGGAATTGAGTTGATGTTAGCAGAAATTGTTGCAGCAGATGCATTAGCTGAAATAAAACAAAAGAATGCTCACATCAATAACCATAATCAATAAAATTCAAATAATGACAATCCCCATCCAAGATACCGGCACAACATTAATATCAAGTCTTTGGACAGTAATATTAACGTGTAAGTGATACCTTGTTGCAATGATCAAACATTGACAATAACTCATGTCAAATAATGAAACTATCTTTGGATCGATTCATTATTCACATGTAAACCTTATAATTGTCACACGCTTATCATCGCAGATGTGTATACAATCTAAATAAATATTAACCTTCCTTTGGGCCGATTAAATATTTACACGAAAGCATACACACAAACATCTCACATTCCTCATGAACAATCTACACAAGAGAGGTTACTTTGGCAACTTCTTGTTTCAATTAATCAATTGGAGTGAGAGACAACCTTAATACCTTAGTGTCATAATATTTGAATTAAATAATTGATTAAAAACCGAATTAGATTTAAATTAAAAAATTTAAATCAACTGAATTTCCAAAAACTTAATTGGGGTCTCACAGCTTAATTAGGGCCCATAACTTAATTGAATAAATTAAGTATACCAAAGTGGACCCATGAAAAGCCGAGGCTTAACCATAATGAACACGAAGTTCCCTTAACTTCGAACGCGAGGTTCGACTGTATTGAGTACGAGACTCACTTAAGCACGAACGCGAGGTTCGTTTGAGAACGAACGCGAGGTCCGTTAAAAAAGATGAACGCGAGGTTCATCTGAAGCACGAACGCGAGGTTCGTCTAAAGCACGAACGTGAGGTTCGTCTGAAGCACGAACGCGAGGTTCGTTAAAAATTGAGCTTGACGCTCACCTGAGTTGAACGCGAGGTTCACCTTAGAACGAACGCGAGGTTCGTTAAAATTGAGCTTGACGCTCACCTGAGTTGAACGCGAGGTTCACCTTAGAACGAACGCGAGGTTCGTTGAGCGCGAAGCTCGGTTAAAATTGAACGAACGCGAGGTTCGTTTGAGGTAACCACCTCCTTAATTTTCGCCATGAACTCTTAGGGTTTCAAACTGAAACCGTCGCCGCCAAACCCAAAAAAATCCTCGATTTTTATTTTCAAAACCAGATCCAGAATCGGAAAAAATTTCTTGATCCAGATCCAAGAAAAATTGAAGACAAAATCAAAGGAAAATCCAAAAAAAATCCAAAAAGCCCAATAAAACTTAAATCCCTAAGAATTCCTCGATTTTTCAGTTACTGTTCATCCGAAAAATACTTTACTGTTCATCCGGAAAAAAATTTCACTACTGTTCACCGAACATTACTGTTCATCCGAGAACAAAATTGAATCTTTAACCAGAGATTTAAGATCAAAAAACCCAATAAAACTTAAATCCCTAAGAATTAATCAAGGTGGCTCTGATACCACTTGTTAGATCTAAATCAAAACTTGAGATCTAAAACCATATAGCCATGATTAATTCAAAGAGATTAACAATAATCTAAAAGAGCGGAAGCTTATACCTGAATCCATAGATTGATCTTGATTTTGGGTTTTGGATCTTCTAACCTTAGGGTTTTCTCCTTTAGCCGAATTTCTCTATTAGATGGGGGTGAAGAGAATTAGAGAATGTTACCCTAGGTTAGGGACCATAACTCCTTATTTATAGATGTTGTACTTTTGTAATTTAGCCCCTCAATAAATTACAATTACAACCTGGTATCTGCACATATAACCTCATGATTATATTTAAATACCCATTAACCCAACTTAATTGATCACTTTAGTGGGTTATCCTGAAAGATAGCAACACATTGATTAATCATATGTGCCCACAAATAGATTTATTAGATTAAATCCAACAATTATCCCACAAGTATCCCCATTTAAAGAATTATGCCTAATTATGCCACTAAAATATCCCATTTTCAAAAAGTTATCTCATTTTAACAATTATTCCAATTCTTGTGAAAATATTTACCGTAGGGGTAGGGTTTGTGTGTGTGTGTGGGGGGGTGGGGGGGGGGGTGGGGGGGGAGGTGGGTAATTATTAAAGTGGAGGGGTATTTTGGTCATTAACGAACCAAGTTATTGATGGTCTTATGGGTAATTTCAAATATTTAAGGGAATACTTTCAAATTATTGAAGATTGGAGGGACTAATATCTAGATGGCCCTAAAATGAAAGAAGAATTTGGGGCATATAATTGAAAAGCCATACTTAAGATGTAATTTTAATGTTTACTATGCCTTTTGAATTGGTTTTTTTTTTGTTTTTGTTTCATATTAATGTAATAATAATATAACGTTGTATCTTCAATAATATTTTACAATCCTTAGAAAATGTTTAAAACTCATGAAATACCCCCTCAAAATGGTTGAAATACCTGCGATATTACATTAAATCAGATGTCAAAGATAAGAAGGAATAACAATATATTAGTTATTTAAATTATTTAAAATATTGAAAAGAGGTTATACATAATATACTGAAGAACTGACATACATTATAAGAGGCAAGTATAAAAAGCCAAAGACTTAATAGCATTTAAATTTCCTATAGTTTTCCCTCTATGCACTATATACCCTCAATTGTTTTCAACAGAACTTATATACCCTAAAGTTTTTAGAATTTACACTTTAATATTCTTAGTTATGCAAATGTGAGAATTTTCCCCCGAGAATTCACATGTGACAATCACATGTTAATTACAAAATATTTTAACCCTTACTATTTGTTAAGTTTATTGTTAAATTTATCAAAATTCTATTTTAAAATAGGACTAGGGTAAGTTTAAAATAGAATTGTTGTAGTTTGAACAATAAATTTAACAAAAAATAAGGGTTAAAAAGTTCTAAAATTAGCATATGAGTACTAAATGAGAATTTTTGGGGGATAATTTCTCGCATTTGCATAACTGAGAGTATTTAAATACAAATATAAAAAATGCTGGGATATTTTAAGCGCTGCCAAAAACAAGTGAGGGTATATAAGTGCAAAGCATGAGAAATTATGGGGCATTGAAATTCAATTAAGCCAAAAGGCAAAAGCCAAATTTAGGCTATATTGCACTCAAATGCCCCATAGTTTCATCAACATTGCACTTAAGTGACTTTTATTTTAAAACCGAGAAAAGTTTTAAAACGCTGTACTTTGGTGCCCTCTTGTTTACCCAATGTTGCATATAAACGCCTTCAGTTTGTAAATGAACCCACTTAAATACCCTAAAATTTCTAAAAGTCAAGCTTCCACACCCTCTATTATGTGGTATTCATGGATATATGGAAAAACAAGATTCTTTTTATTAACTTTGAGATATGTATCTGTTATATTTAAATATTTTAAGATATTTATTTGATCGAATTTTTTTTAAATAACCCATTTACAAATTTTTTTAAAAATTGACCCCATTGAGTTTTTATTACAAAAATCGACCCACTTTCTCGCCACATCAACATCGTGGCGAGAAAGTGGGTCGAATTTTTTTAATCCTGTTCCTAAATAGTTGAGGTTGGCAACCCGACTATTTAGGAGGTCGCCTGCTATTTAGAAGCCAAATTAGTCAGGGTTCAAAATCTCGACTAATTTAATCACACGTTTAAATTGGTCGGGGTTAGAAACCTCGACCATTTCGAAATCCTAATTCGAAATGGTCGGGGTTGCCAACCCCGACTATTCTGTTCTGGGTCCCGCCCAAGCCATTCGTTCCCAACCGCCTCCCTCACTTAAAACCCGTCACTGGTCTCCCCCCAAGCCACCGATCTCGGATTTCAACCCTATTTTTCGGCGGAATTTCATCGTGAAAGATCTAACATGTAATTTCTCTTCCTTGTCCCCTCTTTTAACACGTAGAAATCTAGGGTTTTCTCTCCAAAATGAATTTCTAGGGTTTGAACTCTATTTGTAGTGGTTTATTTAGAAAATTTATTCTTGTTGTAGAAATTAAACATTTAGGTCATAGAATGTTCAAATCTAGGGTTTAGGATTTAGGGGGTTTAGAGTTGTAATTAGGGTTTATGGTTGTAATTTGGGGGTTAGGGTTGTAATTCGGGGTTTAGGATTGTAATTGATAATATTTTGTAAATTTTTTTGCATTTAAATGATATAATTTTTTTTGCATAGGTTGAACAATATGATTTTTATTGTTTGCTCTTATGATGGAAAAATTAATTATGGAAAGAATAATATGTCAACATACGTCGGAGGAGTAACGACGCCGTTAATAATCTCGGAATCATATAGTTAATGTGGCTTGGTTAATGAATTACACCGAGTTACAGCAACTGACCCGTGAGAGTACCGACTAAAAATAATATGCAATTGTCCCATAACTTTTGATAGAACATCTGCAGTTGAGATCTCAAACGATTATCATATGAGTATTGTGTTTAATTTGAGCAAGTCGTAACCTACAATAGAATTGTTTATTAAAAAGTTGCCACATAGTTCGTGCTAAATATTCAACCCTCTAGGAGAATTCTCACGTATGTTAGATTTGGGAGTTGAGTCTGATAGTTTTCTTTCTTCTTCGAGCAAAATGGAGCGTACTCAATTTCAATATCACAGTGGTGCACTTTCATTCAGTGGAACGTCAAATGTCATGAACAATGAAGTCATTTATGAAAATATGAGGCCATTAAGAAGTGCAACAGTTGAAGAGGATGAAAGAAATGATGCCTTTGAAGATGAAGATGAAGATAAAGCACCAATTGATAGCAAGTAATTTGTGAGTGAAGATGATGAAGAGAATTCAGATTGGCCCGATGAGGCTTATGCTAATAATGAATATGTTGAGTACGAAGAACCACCCCCGACGAGTTTGAAGATGATGAGTGGATTCGTTCTTCTATAGTACAAGATATGTGCATTGCGAAAGTTCAACTCATAGAGGAGATGATGATGTCCCTTTTAGAGTTGGTGATCTATTCGAGACTAGGGACCAATTAGTTGATGCTATTTGGGATTACTCAATCAAAAAGTTGGTTATATTCAAACAAATTAAAAGTAATCGCACAAGTTATGAGGCAATCTATTTTATGAATACACAAAGGAAAGGTCAGGTCGAGGAAAATGAAGCTGATTACGCATGTCCTTGGAAGTTATATGCATTTACCGGAAAGAAACATAATAGGTATTTTAAGATCACAGAATACTGCAGTGTTCACACATATAGCAATCCAATGTTTGAGCAAGATCACAGTGGTGCTTCCGCCTCTTACATAGCTCGGTTGATTATGCCAAAATTAAAGAAGCAACTTGAGCTAAGGCCCAATAATACAATTGATAGAGTGTTACATACGAAGTTCGTTGAAACATCGTATAGTAAAGCGTGGAATGCAAGGAGATTTGCTATGATAAAAATATTTGGTGATTGGGAGAAGTCATACGCGACACTACATCAATATCTTGATGCGATCAAAAGAAGCAATCCGGGATCTGAATACAAACTCATAACCAAAGAGATCAATCCGGGAGTTCATCAATTCACCTCTGTATTTTGGGTATTTGGTCATTCGATTGATGGATTTAAATTTTGTTGGCTAGTTCTTAGTATTGATGTCACACACTTATACGGTAAATATAAGGGTGTATTGCTTGTCTCTATAAGAGTAGATGCAGATGGTTGCTTATTTCCTTTGTCCTTCACAGTTGTGGAGGTCAAGAACAGTGAAAATTGGAAGTGTTTTTTTCTTGCATTCAATTATATATTTTTCACGTGTTGCCTCCTAGGAAAATTACTTTTATATCTGATAGGATGAAATGTATTCCAAGAACATTGTACATGAGATTTGACTCTCATCACAATCACTGCTATTGCTTACGACACATTAGAGCTAATTTTAAAAAGAGCTTTGGTCAAATACATTTACAAAACCTTCTTTGGTAGGCGGGTTGTGCACCCAAAATATGTGTGTATGATCGGATAAGGGAGCAAATGAAGGCATTATCTCCAGCTGCGCATGACTGTATTGAGAGTAGTTTAGGGAGAGATTACGAGGATCGGTAGACACTAAGTAAAGATAGAGGAAATCGGTATTGCATAATGAAACTAATTGTTCTGAAAGCTTCAACGGGATACTTAAGGGGGCTCGAGTAATGCTCATATAGGCGTTGGTTGCAAGGACATTTTATAGATTAAATTTTTATTTTGCCATGTCAAAAAACGCGTTTGGCAACCGTGGATGCTCTATGAACTAGCTTTGGAGTCACTACCATATATTTGCAGGAAAGGTGATGATGTATGGCGTGCTTGCGTCCCGATCATATGTTTTGATATTATCATGATACACGTGCCCGACCGTGTGCTCCGATAATTTAGACTACAACAACATGTTCCGGACCCTGTGGAGAGAATAGAGTGAAATCCCAGAAAAGGTGCACATCATGAAAATTGGGAATTAGTTCACCATGCTTACATCCAGAGGTGGGAGTTGAGGGAGGAACAAATAGTGATTAAGAGAGATGACTCACCTGACCTAGGTGTGTACTTGCGGTGGTATTGGGGGATTACTCCCCGATGGATATTTAGAGAGAACAAAGCCCCCAAGGAGTACATACCAAGAGGTCCAATTGAGAGAGAGTTGGTAAGTGTATATGCAAAATATACAATTATTTTATGATTATTATTTTGTTATCATCCACTTGCTAATAATTCTCTTTTGCTTTTTATCTTATAGGTATAAGAGCTCGATGAGGTTGCTAATATGGCACATGATGCAATGAGAACGACTACCGAGCCGGGGGCGAGGAACACATTCTTTCGCATTATAAAAAAGATTTAGTCCACTCTGAAGAGGACACGTAATGCGATACGTGATGGACGCGAGGAGCACCTCATAGGGATCGTGCCTCGATGGTTCTGAGGACACACGGGAGCAGGCTCAAGCCGTGTACATGATGAAGTTGGCGGCTCACAACAAGCTCAAGCTGGATGTTCACAGTAGGTTCGAGTCGATGAGGATGTCATGCGCTCCCAACTTCACACACAACCGGACGAGGATCTCATCCGAGCTCACGTCGAAGGTGAATAGGGAAGGGGGAGAGGAAAAAAGAGGGAGAGGGAGAGGGAGAGGAAAGGGAGTTGTAAATATTTGTTAAGTTTCGATATACTTGATAGGATGTTTGCGTTTGAAACTGAATGTTACGTATTCGATTGAGTATGGATTATTAGTAAGTGAATTGAATGGTATGTATCCGATTGATTATGGATTTTTAGTAAGTGAAATGAATGTTTGCGATTATGGATTAGTATGTGTGTTATTTGTGTTTTGTGATTGCATTGTGGATTGATAAATACGTACCAAGAGTTGGTGGATTGATATGTATTGACAGGAGTATGATTTTCCAGCTGAATGTGGGCTGGAAGATCTCTACAAAATAGTCGGGGTTGGGAACCCCAACTATTTTGCTTTTGCCAAATTCCCGACTCTTTTGAAACTAAGCAAATGTCTTTGCTAAATGGTCAGGGTTCGAACTAAGACTTTCGAAATGGTCAGTATTCCCAACCCCGACCATTTAGAAAGTGTGCTAAATTAGTTGGGGTTTCGAACCCCGACTAATTTAGCTTGTAAATTACCCAGGACGTCCAAAATAGTCGGGGTTGCTAACCCCGACTATTTAGCAACGCATTTAAAAAATCGGCCCACTTCGTGGTCACGATGCTGACGTGGTCACAGAGTGGTCTATATTTGTAAATAAACATGAGTGGGTCTATTTAAAAAAAAAAAGTACGAATGAGTTTATTTAGAAAATTTGTTCTTATTTTGATCAGTTTAAAAAAATGGACGTCAGGTTAGGGAGCGAGCTTGGTGCGACCGTAATTAAAAATCTAGGGTCGCACGTGACTCACTCGAGCTCGGGGTCGGAGGCCGCTCGTGAGCTACAACAATCCTCGCACGCCGTCTTCTGGCGAGAATCCAAATCCAAGCTCTCAAAAGCAGGAGCAGAGGGCTCCATCGCCACCAGCATCCCCATCGCCATGGCGGCATCGGTTGCTTCCTCCACGATCCAACGCGGCCAGGTCAGATCCCAACCCCAACCAAACCCTACCCCCTTTTTTTTAAAAGAAAAAGGAAAAAAAAGGAAGATATCTCCAATCTCGTCCCCTTTTTGTCTCAGGTTGATCTCATCGACTTCATCGACTGGAGAGGGATCGAGTGCCTGAACCATAACTCAAGCCACGCGCTCGCCAACGCGCTGAAGCAGGTGGTAATCAACGTATTCTTGATCCTTTTCCTTTTTTGTTGAAGATCGTTTACACGCTTGTTCTGTGTTTGATTCTAGGGTTACAGAGATGATGATGGATTGCACCTGGAGAGCGACGCCGATGAGCAGTTGCTGATCTATATTCCCTTTACTCAGGTTGTTAAGTTGCATTCGATCGTTATCAAAGGGCCAGAAGAGGAAGGTATTGCCCGGAGTTCTTTAAACCCTAGAATTATAGTTGAAATTTTAGTATCGGGTTTCCGGAAGTTAGTAGGGATGTACTGGTCACTCTTAGGGCGGGCTTCGACCTAACAAGCGAACTTTCGGCCGGGTTTGATTATGGTTTATAGCGAATCTTTGATTTTCAAGGAACGTTCCGGGGTAAGGTGAAAATTTGTGACCGTAATATTATTACGACCAATGCTTAAGTACTTCGGGGCGTCCTGTGATTTTTGAGCTTTTATGATGAGAAGAACCTGAAAGAAGAAACCCTGTTCAGGTAGGACATGTGCTGCAGATCGTAGATGAAAGGAACAGAAGAGCTTGTTGGTTCAGGCTAATTGTGTGTGTAACTTCTCGCGTGTTATTCATGAGTCTAGATTGTCGAAGGGTCGTGTTTGGGTAGGTAAATGTTGAAGATTATGATATGTCACATAACCTTGATGCTTCCGATCAGTGATATCAAGGTGATACGGGGCGGTGGTGAAGCGCCCTGTATCTGATGTGATAGCGCCTTTATGCACCTTGCATGCGCCCTGCACAAGCGCACGTTGCACAGGGCTCATGCAAAGTATAGCCCCAAATATGTTTGTTCTTTAACATTTCAATCGGTTCTTTATACACAATAACCTATATCCTAGAAAGAAAATAAATCCGTTAGGTCATTTTAGTAGCCCGATTGAAGACCCTAATTCTTTCTCGTTTACAATTTGATTTTTCTTTGATATTAGTATTGATTTGACTTTGCATTTAGCAGTATGAGTTAAGACCTTGTTTTGTGATTTGGTAGAATATATTAGTTATCTAGACATACTTTTTTATGCGAAAATTCATAAACATGTTCTTTCATGTTTCATTTATCTACCTTGAAAAATTATGTGTGTGTTGTGCGCTTTACTTCACTCGGGCACGCGTATCGCATTGCACCTTGTGCATGTGTGCGTAAAGGGAATTTGTGCCCGCATTGTGCATCACACATTGATAACAGTGCTTCCAAAACTACACTAAAACTCTCTCAAAAGCATAATGGCTACCATCACCCATCACCATTTGTTTGCGTAATTCCTACCATTAATTGTCACGACTCCGCCAGTGTAGTTGCTGGCACCACAGCCACCATCGACAGACCTGCTACCATCATGAGCGCCATTGTCCTTGCAAAAAACAGGTCCGAAAATCTAGTTCAAGTATAAATAGTTTAGACCATGTTACTATAATATGCTAGGTTTCTACGTACAAAATTTTTGTTGTCCTGGATATTTTCGTATGAGACAATTGATATTTTGGCTTATATGATTTGTGAGCATGAGAGATGGATTAGTTGGTCTTCCACTTATATTGGGATCTGTAATTAAAGTTCCACTTGAATAGTATGAGTTACCAGTTTTCTTTATGCTTTGTACATGATTCAGATATAGAATACAACAATGAGGAAAATTAAGTCTCAAAGTTGAGTGCACTACACACTCCAGCATTGTTGTACAATTAAAGAACTACAAGTTTTAAAATGAGATTAGTATTCAGCTTACTTGCTACTTCAGACCAAAAACCCTGAAACTTTTCTATTTAAGAATGCTTGCAGGAAGATTGCTTTGACCGTCCAATCTTGTTGTTGAATCTCTCAGAAAAGTTATTTGACCTTTCTTTTGTGCTATATTAATATTGATATCTCGTACTAAACCGTTATTTTCCAATTCCAAAGTTAGAATCATCATCAGAAATATTAATCTCATGCTATGGGTTGATTAAAAGCACCTTATTGAGAGGATTATTTTCTCCTGAGATGTCTCTTTCTGCTACTTTTTTCACTGATGCATGCTACTTATTCACGTGGCTCATGCATTCTGTTCTTTTCCCCAACATTCATGTTTGATTCGGTTGTTTCAAATATTTTATGCATGCCTTGATCTTTACTATCTCTGCATGTGTATTTCCGGTGAACCACTTCCTCTGCAATTTATATTGATTGCAGATGTTGAGAACTTGTCCTATTAAGTGGGACTTACAACCACTATATATTTTCATTACTTCAACCCATGTTCCTTGTGCTAACCTAGTCATAATATCTTCCCAACTATGGTCTTACGACTCCTTTTCTACAATGATTGCCTTCCTTTCATGTTCAAATTAGTATAAGAAGTTTTCCCTTTTCTTAGCATAAATCATAACTACCTCTAAGTCCTAACTAATACGTTAATTTCTTGTGGCTCTTAGCATACTGCTGCTCATCCATCTAAAACATTCTCCTTCAGCTAGACTCCATTCTTGTAGATTGTCCATATTTGTCCAACATGTGGGTTAATGCAAAGCTGGTAGTCTTGCTTTGTTATAATTTTTTTTTTGCCTTCAGCTTCTGAGGAGGGTCAAGCCACATATGTAGTCCAGTCATACTTTTTCTCTTCAGCATTCTAATGATGATGAATGATTGAAGCTCCATGATAATGTGACCACTCTTGGATTTCTTGGTCATCAAATCCTTGTTTCTTCTATTTTACATAAGCCGCATTACACACAGTTGAAAACACCAACATTGTGGTGTTCTTTACTTAAGTTTACCTTTTGTAGTAGCTTAATTTTCTTGTATCACATCTCTAGTCTAGTATACAAGGGCATACGACTCTTAAATAAATAGCTTTTTGTCATGTCAGATTTTTTTGTCTCATACTTGATACCAAAGATAGGTACCCTTATTTTGACCTTGATCCTTCCTTGTGATCCAAAATTTCTAGCTCCTCTTGTTGCTATTAGACTTAAATCAATGCTAATGTTTGCTTTGAACTTCTATGGCTTGTTTGGAGATTAATCAGAAAGCCTGGATTATATATGCTCATCTGTCGCTCTTCTTTAAAATTACTTAAATTACTATATCCCTAAAGGGAGATTATGGTGACTTGTTCCTCTTCTTTAAAGTTGCTTAAATTGATATTTGAAGGAGGAAAATTAGAATTCATGAAACATTACCTCCTCCCTATTGGTTGCATCAATTTTGAATAATAACTCATTGTATGTGCTCCTATATCTTTGTCAAATTAAAGGTTACTTTACGTCATTTTTAAACCCCTGGAGGTCAAATACTTCACATGCCTTCTACTGAAATATATGGGGTAAAAGTCACTACTCCTTAGGAACTCAATCCACCAATTGATCTACATTCTTCGATCCAGGCTATACACTTACGCATGACCTGTTTCTTTCATGAATTCTCATATTCCTCTTTCAAGTAAATAGTGTTGGTTCCATCTTTGTTTGCAGGTCCGAAGACTGTGAAGCTCTTTGCAAACAAGGAGAATATGGGGTTTAGGTATGTTGCATTTGGTTTCAGGAATAGTGACTTTAAACATTGAAACCTCATGGAAAGTTCTTATGTTTCTCCATCTTAATTCTCTAATTATTTACATAACTTTTGCAGTAATGTTAATGACTACCCACCAAGTGATTCAATTGTTTTATCCCCAGAAACTCTCGAGGTAATCCCTGTACAACTATCCTGAGGGTAGGGTTGTTTGCACTCATTTTCTTCTAGGAGAGACCCTTTTTGCCCTATACATTACTTTTTGTCTGACAGATCACCTGTAAGAGTAATTTTTGATAGATTGCTCATAGTCTTTATTGACAGACAACTCATGTTTGACTT